TTTATATTATAAATAGGCTTAGGTAATAAACCAAAAATTGGAACCACCTTAAATAGTCTGGCTAATTGGCTATGCCAATAAAAATAAAAAAAAACCATTCTGTATTGCGGATATTTTACGAAAATTCTAAAACAAACAACACTCTCTTTTACTTGCATATTGACAATCATATTTGTCGCTCTATATTTATAAATCGCTGTTCTCTGTTTCTAAATAACGTTGTTGTCTACCATCCTCGCTTGTTTTTTCTTTCATTTTCGTTAAAAATAAAAAGGCATTATTTTAAATTATAATCTCATCGTTGTCATTCATTCATCACAAAAAACATTATTCCAGATACGTGCTCCAATATTATTAACGACGGCCAACATGAACGTTGTCAATCTTTGGCGAATCCGTTCGTTGGCCTGGTCTACACGCGCAGCTATAGAAAAAAGTAGCAGGTTAGTTTCGCCGTACTTTTTTGATTGATCTTTTATATTTAAATAGCGCTTTAGGATATATCCTCTATTAACATACCACTAGGATGTTCGAAGAGTTCCGTGAGATTTATTCCATATAGAAAAATACCATAACAAAAACAAAAGTATTAAAAATCTAGAATATTCCAGATGTCATCAAAAAATTCCGAAATGCCTCGTAATATCTGAAATATCAAGAGTATATATAAATACAGGAAGTTGACAGTTTAAATAATAGCAGTAACTGAGTGTTTAATTGTAATTGATTGTATTGTAATATTGTTTGCTGTTTGAATAAAAGTAAATATAAAAGAAGTATAAAAATGCATATTTATCACCTAATAATACAATATATTATATTAGGTCACACCTACTCTGTTATTTGGATGTGAAAGCTGGGTAATGACACAAATAGATAACTCTGGATTCAACTTAGTAAACTGAGATTCCCTAGAAGTGACAGCCATTACAAGACTTAATAGGCAATAAAATGAAGACGTAAGATACAAACTGAATATCTATTCGATCAATAAGTATATTGTTGTGTAAGTGTAATACCGGTTCCGTAATTCACGAAGCGAAGCTCTTTTTATCTCAAAACTTCTACTTGGCGTTCTATAAATGCCTTACTATTTAGCGATATTTTTATGGAATCTCGTGTTCAGCTGTATTTTAACAGACAGTTGTGGGTTTGTAAGCGATACCCACAATATCGTAGGCGAAAATTCTTATAGGGTAACGGGTAGAGTGATTGGCCACTTAAGGAATTGCCAATTGAATTAAAATTGTAAATTGGTATCTTTTAAAGTGAAATATTTTGTAAGGGTTTTTTAATAGTAATGAAACATCAGATTTTATAAAAACTCAGGTTATTTTAATCAGAAATAATCTCTCTCTTCAATCCTAACCCCCAGGGGGAGTGTAGTGGTCGACGTGATGTCGTGTATTGTCCGTCTCCAGAGATCTCTGTCTCTGGTCATTTCTTTTAATTCATGCGTAGGTCTTTGGCATATTCCTGTAATTTGATCTATCCATCTTGTTGGGGATCTTCCTCGTGATCTTCGGCTTTCTCCCTTTCCTTGTATTATGAGTTTTTCCATGTTTTCTGTATTTGCTCTCATAACATGCCCAAAATATTTTAATTGTTGGAGATAGACTTTACTAGAGAGTCGGCTCTCTTTTAGCGCTTTTAAAATTGAATTATTTGTTCTACGGTCGGTCCAAGGAATTCGTAACATTCGTCTCCAACAGAACATTTCAGCGGCGTCTATCTTTCTTCTCTCCGATTGTCTCAGAGTCCAAGATTCACATTCGTAGGTCAGTATTGGGAATATTAAGCAGTTGATCAACCTCATCTTTATCGCTCTTGAAATTTGACAGTCCTTCCATATTTTGGTCATTTTTGCTGTGGCAACTTTTGCTAGATCATATCTACGTTTATTCTCTTCTTGTAATGACCCTGTGTTTGTGATTAATGATCCCAGATATAAGTATGAGCTCGCAACCTCGAACCGGCCAATTGTGGTTATGTGTGGATGATTGTTGTGTAGTCTATCCACTATCATGATCTTTGTCTTTGATATGTTTAATTGCAGACTAAATATTTGACTTTCGTTTTCGATCAGTCGTATGAGTTCTATCAGCTCTGCTTGACTATTTGCAAGAAGGGCTGTGTCATCTGCGAAACGTAGGTTGTTTAGTTTATGACCATTTATTGAGATGCCCTTTTCCCATCCTTCAAGTGCTCTTCGCATAATATACTCCCCATATATGTTGAATAATTGTGGAGATAGTATACATCCTTGTCTGACACTCCGTTCTGGATGAAACTCGTTCGAAAGTGTGTCAAGTACTTCCAAGTATATCCAATAGTGTGTTCATATAGTTCAGTTATAAGCGTAATTAAATGTTGTGGTACACCTACTTCTTTTAGTATTTGCCATAAGTGTCTCCACTTGACCCTGTCGAACGCTTTACGGTAATCTATAAAACAGATGTAGATATAGTGGGATGTTGAATTCCCTAGATTTCTCGATTATCTGTCTCATATTCAGCAGGTGTTCTCGAGTGCCTCTACCTTTGGTAAATCCAGTTTGCTCCTGTAGAATTTCTCTTTAAAGGAATATTTTCAGTCTCTCATTGATTATATGTAGCATTATCTTGCTGGCGTGGGATATAAGAGAGATAGTTCTATAATTGTCGGATTTATGGAAGCTGCCTTTTTTATGTATGGTCGTTATTGTAGATTTTGTTCAGTCCTTAGGCCATTGTTTGGAATGCCATATTTGGTTACAGAGTAGATGGAGTAACTTTACGCCGGTTTCTTCTGTGGCTTTAAGCATTTCTGCTGTTATCATATCTGGACCTGGTGCTTTGTTATATTTGAGCTTGTTGATAGCCTGTCTTACTTCATTTTCGAGTATATCGGGTTCTTCTTCCACCTCGTCAGGGATTTGGCTAACAAGCTCTTGGCGTTGATCATCTTTATATAGGTCCCTGCAATACGATCTTCATGTCTCTGCTATGTCTTCTCTGTTTGTTCTCAGGGTTCCAGTGTTATCTTCAATGGCCCAAGTTCTGGCTCTGAAGTCTCTTGTCAGGTAGCGTATTTTTCTAAATAGATCTCTCGGCATATTATTCTGACCACGTCTCTCAATTTCTTTGCATATACTTTGATAGTACTGTTTTTTGTCGGCCTTACATCTTCGTTTTATTTTTTTATTAAGGTTTCTTAAACTAGCTTTTTCCCTTTCACTATGTACACCACTTTTACAGAGATTTCTTCTATCCTCAATTATTTTAAGAGTTTTATCTGTTATCCAGTGTTTCCGTTTCACCGGATTATTTTTCTTTGAGCGATCCACTGGTGTTGTTACGCAATGTTTAACAGTCTCCCATATTTCTTGTGATGTTCAGTTAGGAATAGAGGGCATACTTTTCTGTACTTCCTGTAGAAGGTCTTATTTCTTTCTTAGTTCTATCCTCTTCATCTCTCTTTGTTTGTTGGTTGCTTTAAGTTTAAGCATTACTTTAGCTATGAGGAGAGTATGATCGGATCCGCATATCGCCCCTGGATATGATCTGACTGTTTGAATGGACGATCTCCAGCGAATATTGGTGAGGACGTAATCTATTTGATTTCTAAATCTATCTCCAGGACTTTTCCAAGTATAAAGTCGACGTACATGGTGTTTAAATCGAGTATTCATGATAGAGTAGTTGTTTGTGATAGCAAATTCGATTAAACGGTCTCTTCTCTCGTTTCTCTGCCCTATGCCAAACTTTTCCAGTACATTCTTTAAGTCGTCATTTTGTGTAGTGTTGCCAACTTTTGCATTAAAGTCGCCATAGTATAGTAAGTTCTTTATTTGGTATGTTAGCGATTGTGGTCTCCAGTTTTTAGTAGAAATCCTCGATCTTTATGTCATCTGATGTGATGGTTGGCGCGTAAACTTGTATGATATTAAGTTTATGTGGTGTGCCATCCAGTTTAATGAGTACTATCCTATCGTTCACCGCTTTAAAATCAGAAATAATAATGTATATTAAAACTAAAAACAAATATAAAAACTTACAGAACTACACAGTTATTGGTCATGCAAACATAGTTATTGGCATATAGAATTACATTCATTGGCCATTCATAAAATATCTAATTTTCTTCTTTAGTTCGTGCAGATAACGCACACAAAACTATTTAAGTTTTCAATTTCTTGTTGTTTCTTTGCACAAGTACCAATATGGTAACCTCTAACACAAAATAGACATTTTATTCCAATTTTTGATTTAGATATATTATAGGAACAAGAACAACACAATCCTGTATACAAAAAGGTATTTACAGGTGGTGGGTGTCGTCTGATTGTTTCACCGTTACATCTGAGAGTATTTGTATTTTTTCATATTCTGGATATCCCTTAGTTTCAAAAAATAAATTTCTTTTAGACGACTCACCAGCACGTTTTTCTTTGCTGGTTTCCAAATTTGTACATTTGCTTTGGGATGTATTCTTTAAATTTGATGAATTCATATTGTTTCAGACATCAAAAAATATGTTATCAATTGTGGGCGGATTAACATTGTCCTCTACAGAATCAGGAAATTAGTTTCGTGACAATTCTTGTTTTTCTTTGAGGACAACATCTGGTATATCTCTAACTCCACTTTTCAAAGTAGAGCTTTTAATTGTATGATAAGTGTGTCTGCTTTAAAAATATTTGTATCTGCAATATCAGCTGCATTTACTGTAACCTTTTCTTTATTTTTCACAACAATTTGACATTTTTTGCTCCCGGAATTAACTCTTGTGGCACTTTCATTACTTTCATCTTGATTTCCCTGTTTTTTGACATTTATTGTTTGATTTGCGTCAATTCGCTTTTGTTTTCGTTCTAATCTTATTTTTTCTTGTTCTACTTTTTCTTCAATTTTACGACTCTCTGCATTTTGACGATCTGAAAAAGTGAGCACGAATGGCAAAAAAAAGAATTTTTTGATTGAGGTGTCAATTTTTTTAGATAATGAGTTGTCTTGATTAACTAAAGGCAAATTGTTGGATGTTGATTGAATATCTTCTGTCATTGTATCTTCTGTGACTTCTTTTATTTTATTTGTAATATCAACGTTTTCTGGAAGTTGAATTCTAAAATCCGAAAGTAGATTTTCTTCTGTAATAACAGGAATATCTTGTAAGTTGCATATGCTTTCATTGCCACCTACAGGGTTAAGTGTAATATCTGAATCTGAAGATATATGGGTTTCTGTGATGATAGAGGTATCTTCTATATTATTTGTGATTCCACCAATCTCTGTAGTCTCAATCATGGGTAGATCTATGGTATTTTGAAATAAATTAAATATAATAAAGAGCACTTTTGAATCTCGACTTAGTTCTTCGCAATTATCCAAACTTTGAAATTCTAATATTTTTGCGGCTCCAACTGTGTCTACAAAATCTTCATATGTTATTGATTTTGTCATAGACATAGTGTGATTAATATATTTATGCGGGTCTATGATCTCCCCTAAACATTTGGAATAGTCTATTGCCTCAGAGTTCTATGGATACAATCTAGATGCTTTAAAGCCATTAATGATGGAATCTGATTTTAATTGACTAATGGCTGTGTTTAGTATCAATACAAAATTCTCTTTGGTAACTACTGAGTTCGGGTTTTCGCGTCTAAACTTTATTACTGCCCGGTTTCAATTTGCCTTTGATGGTTTAAATGCAGCAATATCTGCAGGTTGTATAATTCTGGTTGCGTTGAGATATTAAGGCCACTAAAATATCAACGAACAAAATGACTGGAAAATTAGTGTTTTTCGAAACTAGGTACTTATATAAGACGTTTCCTATGTATTCATAGAATACAATATAATAAATAATCACTCGAGATACTCCTTAATATACTTTCTCCCGAGTAGTGAAAGTAGATCCAAAATTAGTAGGGACTGTCATGATGATGTCATTTATATTATGGATTCTATTTTTATAACCATTAGCATTACAAACTTTTGCAAAATGGTTAAATTTATTACAAATTTTACACCGTAATCCATAAGCAGGACACTTGTTTAACTTATGCTTAGAACCACACTTATAACAGTTTTTTTATAAAATTATTACTTATCTTTTGATTTCCTGACATCTGGGGATGATTTCGGAAATACTGACCACAATCAGATGTACATTGAGGAACAGGTTTAAGCTGCTGGCTTCTATTTGATTGATGTTTTTTCTGCTTTTGTATCTCTAGAACTTTTAACGATTGGCTACTATTGGCTCCGCTAATAACACTCAACTGTCTTGCTGCCACCTCAGCAGCTCTGCATATTTCTAATCCACGGCTCAGTGTTAAACCTTGTTCTCGTAACAATCTATCCTTTAATGAAACATCTGAGATTCCAAGGATTAGACGATCACGTATTAAACTGTCAGTTAGAGTGTCGAATTCACAGGTACTTGCAAGCTGTCTCAGTTCTGTTACATATAAGTCGTATGTCTGTAGCCCTATCTTGTCTTGAGTGAAAAATAAGTATCGTTCATATGTGACATTTTTGGAAGGTGTAAAGTACTCTTTAAACTTTGTTAGAATAACTTTACAAGAAGTTTTACTTTCATCTGAAGACCACTCGAAATTGTTATAAATACGAAGAGCCCGGTCTCCAATTCGATTCAACAGCACGCTGCCTTGCAAACTGTCGTTCTCCTCATTAAGCTTGCTGGCTTCCAAAAATATTTTAAATTTTTGTTCGAAAAAGCTCCAATTATCTGCCATATTACCATCAAAACAAAGTTCTGTTACTGGAACAACGTGCTCGTTCATTTTGGAGGTTATGTGAAATTACAATTACATAACAATTTTCAAAATATTACTTATCAATTCTCCTTAGGGTGCGAAGATATCGAAATATGACTGCGCCAATTATTTGGCAAAGTAATAAAATTTAAGGATACTAATAAATATAGTTATTAATTCTACATTGTCCCTATAATATTTGTGTGCTTACTTACTTTATTTTGTATTAATTAATTAATTATTATAAATGAAATAAAACAAGACATCGTTTTAAGTTGACGGTTGACATACCTGTCCTTTATTATTCAATAGGCAATTTCTAGCAAATGCCAACATCCAAATGACATCATCATGACATCTCCCTTCCTAAGATAAGATTTCAACATTTGCTAGAAAGGAACACTTAAAGAACTTAGAAGCTAATACAATAATAAAACCATATACACCCATACACACATTATATGTACACGTATATATAGTTTATACGCTATCTCCCTTCCTATGTACATATAATGTGTGTATGGGTGTATATGGTTTTATTATTGTATTAGCTTCTAAGTTCTTTAAGTGTTCCTTTCTAGCAAATGTTGAAATCTTATCTTAGGAAGGGAGATGTCACGATGATGTCATTTGGAAGTTGGCATTTGCTAGAAATTGCCTATTGAATAATAAAGGACAGGTGTGTCAATCGTCAACTTAAAACGATGTCTTGTTTTATTTCATTTATAATAATTAATTAATTAATACAAAATAAAGTAAGTAAGCACACAAATATTGTGGGGACAATGTAGAATTAATAACTATATTTATTAGTATCCTTAAATTTTATTACTTTGCCAAATAATTTATGATTTATACACAAAGATTACTGATATTAAAATTGATAATACACATAAAACTCTGGTATATAGATTTAACCTTTAACCCAATTTTAAGACTCAGTTGTATAATGCCGATGCTGTGTCTTGAAATTTAGTTTCGGAAGCTACATGTGGTCAGTTTCGAATTTTCTCCAGGACAAACGACAAAGCTCCTACCGTAAAAGGGATGCTCTCCAAAGCCGGGAATATGACAAGAGATTAGGTCCCGTAATATATAGATAATGAAAATACGAAATTGGACATAACAAGATAACGCTGTACACAATACAGAAAGAGGTTCTCTAAATCGATAAGTTTAGCATCGGAGTTCTCCTTAATGGAGCAAAAGATATATTTCGGCAGACTTGCTCTCTCTTTCGAGAAGTGTGTTAGTTACATTATTTCGGTCACTGAGTACAGCTACTGATTTAGAGTATTTATATTACTTGCACTATAAAGTAAACATTTAATGTTAATATATGTTAAGATAAAACGTTTTTTTAATCATCACTACACGACATATACTACGCACACCTGCAGGACTTAACCGTCATTATTATTGTTTTGGTGCATTTATTGTTTATTATCTTAATATAAAAATTAAAATAAACTAGTAGTAAAAATCTTATTTTCGCTCTCTTTTAGAAGAAACTAAAAGGAATCAGGTATACACTGAAATATATATTTTTTTAAATCAATAAAGTTTTGAGTGAAATGATGAAAAATATACTTCTTAATTTGAAGTAGAGATCTATAATAGATTATGTCATAACCAACAGAGATATACATCCATCAAAAATAATTGACGTAAGATGACTCAACTTAGCAGATGTAGGTAGCGACCATAGCCTAGTATTATTTAAAATGACAATCATCATTAAAATCAGTAAACTAAAAAATAGATAACATAAAAAAAAAACACTGGGATAAATTTGCCAAAGATATGGAATACGACCTCTATGGATCCCAGAAAAAGGTGTGGAACATGATTATGGAGACAAAAAACAGAAAGTAATGAATTTGTAGGCATAGATAATATTACGGAGGAACAATGGACTGAGCATTTCAGGAAATTATATGGAGGAGAAGAAGAGAAAAGATAAAGAATCATTAACGAAACTCACGATAGAGTACTAATATTAGAAGAAAAGCTACAAGAACGAATAAAAAAATTAAAAAACAGAAAAGCACCTGATTCTGATAACTTAAACAATAAACTGCTAAAATATGGAGGAACAACACTACGCAAATGACTCCTGAAATTATTCGTCTATATCAGGGGTGCTCAAACTTGAACTGCTGACGATCTACCTCAATATTTTTAGACTACTTACGATCGACTCTGAGAGACTGCAAGTGTGTGTGATGCAGGGTTGTCGTACATACACGATACACCCTACTTACCTAGGTAGGGCGTACCGTAGCATATATAGATATTAGCTTTCTGCACAATATAGGTACATTATTTTAGCCAATGTTAGGGATAGGTTTAGTTAGGTTCTTCTCTACAATATCAATGAAAAAACTCATAGTTATTCAAAATTACCAGTTTATTTGTTGTTACAAAACAAAAGAGTTACATATGGTGTTAAACTTAACTAAGGAGTGGCTTTGCATGTTGAAGCGTAGCACTGCATGTCCTCAGCATACTTTTCATAAGATAGTACGTAACCACTGAGTGCTAATCGCAAGCATGATGTCATATGATCGTCAGTTAGTCGATTGCGATATTTTGACTTAATTATCTTCATTTCAGAAAATGCAGACTCGCACAAGTAAGTCGACCCAAAAAATGCCGTCAGTTGAAGGGCGATTTGCCTTACATTCGGATATTTATCTTCAGATATAAAACGCCAGAAATTTGTATCAGATACTGTAGCTTTGAGATGTATATCTGATATAATCTGCACCAACTCATTTTCAACAGAACATGAGTTCATATTAAACTGACTTGCTATTTCAGTAGCTAATTCCTCAATGTTTTTACATGAAAAAGGATAACTCATAAATGATGCTATATTTTCCAATTTACTGCAATCATAAAAACGCATTTCGAATTGTCCCAAAATATTTGATAATTCAGCCTCATACGTATCATAATTCAACTGAGGGATCCTTGCTTTCAAAGACAGAAAATGTTCCAGATCCTTTCTTTTCAGTTGATCTATCATAAGTTGCAATTTACTTTTGAATGAGATTACTGCGCTAATCATCTCAATAATAGTTTTTCCGTTACCTTGAAGCTCCAAGTTAACGGTGTTTAAGTGCATTGTAATGTCAGTCAAAAATGCCAAATCATTTAGCCATTTTTCGTTTTTCAAAATCTGAGTATCATCACCTCTTTCGTCTAGAAAAGCTGTTATTTCGGGCAATAATTCTTGAAACCATTCTAGGAATTTTCCGCGACTCAACCACCTGACGTCCGTGTGAAGAACTAAATCAGTGTGTTCAGCTGACTCCCTATCTTCCAACTGCAACTGAAAGAGCCGCCGTTGCAAGCTACGTGCACGGATGGAATTCACAATTTTTGTTGCAATGCCCATAATTTCCTCCGTGTTTAAAACTTTTGAACACAAAACTTGTTGATGTATAATGCAATGGAATGAAAAAAATTAAGGGAATTCTTCATTAGCTCGACACAATGCCACAAAACCGTTTTTGTTTCCAGTCATTGCTGGTGCTCCATCGTTTGTAATGCACATTAATTTATATGTTGGTAGCTCGTAGTTTTTTACAAAATTTAAGAAAACGTCATATATATCTTCGCCACGGGTCTTCCCCTTTAGAGGAATGATTGTCAAAAATTCTTCCTTAGCCAACATGTCATTGAATACCATTCGAATAAAAATACACAGCTTGGCAGTGTCTGTCATATCCATGGATTCGTCGAACTGTAAAGAAAAGTATGTACATTCCATGATATCATGTTTTAGTTTATCTGCGATGTCTTGACTCATGACTTCAATACGCCTTGTGACAGCCGGACGAGATAACTGAAGTTCTCTAATAGCAGACATGCTTTCTGTGTTATTTTTAAAATCTCCAAATAAAGTCTCACCCGCTTCAATAAATGCTTCCTTCACCACCGATCCATCTTCAAATGGTTTCTTGTGTTTCGCCTAAATATGAGATATTTTAAACGACGCGATCGTAGCAGCTTTTGATTGTTTGGCTGGTCTTGTGAACATGGATTGTTCTTTTTTCAAACAAGATATCAAATCACTTACTTTTCGTTTTCTTAATTCACTCTGTGGCGGAAAATCCTTTTCATAGTTTTTATAAACCGTTTTATGATGCCTCTCTAAGTTACCACGCTTAGGTATTGCAACTGACGCACGACAAATAACACAAATGCACTTATCCTTCACCATAGAAAAGAAAAATTCTTCCTCCCAATCCTTATTTAAATGATACGTTTTAGATTTCGTCACTGCACTCATTTTTCACTATTTAATAATAAACTTTGTATCGACATAGGATCGCTATCAAGTTACAATTCAGAATAACTCAATTCCTGCAGGCGCAACATTTATATCGGCGTGAACGAAAGTCTCGAATGTGCTCGTCAAACGCGCCGCCCAAAACTAGACTGAACTGTCTCTCGTCTAGAAACAACACGGCTTTTCTTTGACAAAGCCACCTTTGGCGCGTTCCTTTGATAAAGCCACCTTTTGCCGCAAGCAGTGTTATTTTATTACGTAATACATTTTTGTAGTTGATAGAATATCATCCCAAATTTGATTAATAATTATAATAATTATTCAATTAATAAAATAATTAGTTAATATATGTAAATATAAAATATGCTATGCGGGCAGTATTTTGTTGTCCCCACTTCTTTGAATTGCAATGATGCTTAGTCAAGCATTCTATGTATTTGTATAGTTCAGTATTAATAAAAACGTTTAACTCTGCTGACAGTAGTTTAGTTACCTACCTACTTATTAAAATTTTTTTTCTTCTCGAGATCTACCCAAAAAGCACTCGCGATGGACCAGTCGATCGCGATCGACCGTTTGAGCACCCCTGGTCTATATAATAAAAGCGGAGTAGTACCAGCGGAATGAAAGGAAAGTCTCCTGCTATCGATACTTAAAAAAGAAGACTCGAGAAACGCTGAAAATTATAAAGGCATTAGTCTGATGAATAGTAGAATAAAATTGTTAA